CACTTATAAGGAGATTTGCTCAAGTGAAAAGAAAAACAAAAGTAAAAACAAAGGAGAAATGAAAGGAAAAATAGAAAAAAGTATGCGTAGACAAACAAAAGAGGACACCATGACAAACAAGTATAGTGGTAACAAAAATAGTATGATAAGTTAACATAACTTAGAAACACAAGACATGATCAAAAAGTGACATATTTATCTCCCTCGAAAAGATATTTGATGTGCTTACGAATTCTACCTTTACCAAATATATTTCTTCTGTCCTTTATAAGTAATGGGTTGCTGAAATATTCTTGCAAATATAAAATAGATAATTTATGTTGCAAGAAATCTTCGATCACACTTGGATTTGTACTAATTATTGTATCTATCAATTTGTTCCAATGGTTGTCGACTAATTTGGAAATTGATTGATACTTGGGTAAATTTTCGATCTCTATGTTTCTTGCATCATACCATCGATGGATAGTTCTGAAGATCTGATGATTTAGAGTTTCAATTTGTTTTTGTTTAGTTGTAATAAGAATAGGAAATATGTTTAATAATGATTGATAGTAAGATCGAATATATGCGTTGTAGAGACTATAGCTGATTCGTTCGCTCATCATTCTGCTTGCCACTAGACGTTTGAAAGTATTTAGATTAGTTCTAATTTTAGATTTAATATAATTGATATGCGTAGTAAATGATAGTTTAGCGTCGAGAAACGTACCGAGGTATTTGAAATTCTTGACGTGTTCAACATGATGACCATCACAGATAATGTCAGGACCTCGTGGAGCCACCTGCCGGTGGAATAATATCCAGTGTGTCTTGTTAAAGTTTATCGCTTGTTTTCATGTAGATGAGTATTTAATTAATTGTTTTAGTTCGTTTTCGACTTGCTCAGTTAAAGATAATATCATAGCAGCAGAGGATAGCATAGGCGAAGGAGAAAAGAGAATGGATAAGTCGCCTGCAAACAAATGTTTTCAGTGTATAGTTGATAAAGACTCAAGAATATCATAATGAAATAGAATGAATAGTACTGGCTCAATGCAGCTCCCCTGGAGAACGCCTTTCATTAATGGAAAATTGTTTGATCGAGAGTTTTTAATATTGATAAAGGCCATTCGACCAGATAAGTGGTGACGAAGACATGCAATTAAGTGGAGAGGGCATTCGAGACGCTTTAATTTCAGCCATAAGCCACAAAATCAGAGCTGATTAAAGGCTGACCTGAAGTGTACGAATAAAGCTGCAGTTGCCGTATTCTTGGCAAGACTTTGGCCTATCTGATTGATGATGGCGACAAGACGAACCGCCATGTTGTGGCCTGATCTAAAGCCGCTTTGTTGATCGAGTAGTAAGCCTTGATCATTGATCCATTTGCGTAGATGAATAAGAAAACATTTCTCAAAAAGTTTCGAAAAGCATGGTAATAATGAAATAGGCCTAGTTTCATCTACACGGACAATTTTAGATTTCGTTTTAGATAAGAGAATCATTTTAGTCACATGCTAGTGAGATGGAGTTTGAAGTGATGACGCAAAAAAGTTGAAAGACGACAAAATGATGGGAAGGTGGCTTCGCGGTAGCAATTTTAAGATACTATTTGATACGCCATCAATTCCAGTTGAATTTTTGTTTTTCAACGATGCAATGGACCTTAGTATATGATGATAAGTAATACGAATATGAGGAGGATCAATATTTTTTAAATTTTCTTCTATTTCCTTGTTGGCACAAGCCGTTTCTGTCTCAATTGGCGTCCTTGGGCGCGGATGAGATGAAAACTGATCTTCATAATAGTTACGAGCTAATGCACACATTTCAAAAGGCGAAAAAATTATATTGTTATTGTCCACGAAGCCTTCAATTGGTGGAGCACGAGGGCCGAAATGTCATTTCGTCTTTCTCCAAAATTGTTGTACGTTACATTCATTTAATGATTTGCAATACTTGTGTCAAGCCTTTTTTTTATAGTCAAATAGATTCTGTCTAGTGAGTTTAGTAAAATCGAGAAGAACAACAGCGAAAAATGCATGTCGAGTTTTGCGAAACAGCTTAAGGTAATGACGTTTAGAATCGATTAATTTAACTAAGTATGTAGGTAGAGATGGCCTGTATCATTGTCGAAATGTGATAAAAGTGAGGCGAGATGCACGTAATGAGAGAAAACGTTCATATAAAGTAAAGAATGCAGTCGTATCTGACATTATTGTCGATAAAGTGTTCCAATAGGAGGCAATATAGGTAAGGAAAACTTCTAAAAGAGACCATCGGGTGCGTTTAATTGGAAAATAAAGATGAGAAGATGAAATTTTAAAGGTTGGTTACCACACCACAGGATAATGATCACTACCGATTGCAGGTAGAACAGAAAAGGAAGTAGATGAAATGTGAACGGGTGCCAGAATGAGATCAATTGTTGCATTTGAACGAGTCGAAGTAGCAACAGATTTGTTAATAACAACAAGAGAAGACGTGCGCTGAGATGAAGATAACCACGTAAATAGAGAGCGGCCTTTGTGGTTCTCATTTGATTTGGACCAAGATGCATGTTTGGCATTGAAGTCATCCGTAAAGATTGTATTTGGATTACTTTGTAGAATTTGATCAAAAGTATGCAGCGAAAGATGTTCATTGGGAGGAGAATAACACGTGATCAGTTGAAATGTATATGATGCCGATTTAATTTCTAGTACAATTAGATTCATTATGTTGGAAAATTCGGCTACTGGTCTGGCACATATTGATTTATGAGGTGTGGGTATGGGTGTGGGTGTGATTGAAGAAGAGATCCACACACCCACACTCTTTCCAACTATTTCTGTCATTGGCTTTGCTCTCATGGCAACTTTCGAGCAGACTAGTACGGTAGCAGTATATGTGAGCAGATGCTTTGTATGCTCTGGAACATATTCGGCTTTTGCCTTACTCATGGCATGGCTAGCAACAAATGTAAGTGGACGAATAAAAAGAACATAAGTAATTGCATTCGTCGTTGGACTTACGAGGGAAGGTCCCCGAGTAATTCACCGCTTTTGGCTCTATATTTTGTCTATAAGTAGGGGTCTTGTAGACTAGAGAAACCCTAAGAGGATATGGGCCCATTTTGCGATTTGGCTGAGATATTCAAATTTTACCCAAAATTTCCTGTGGGACCTTGATTTTCCTGCAAAATCGTATTTTAGAATTTTGAGTTGAAACTTTGCCCAGATAAAGCCCTCAATTAAATTAGCTTGTAAAAAAATTTCAGTACTTTTGGACATAGTATTAATAAGATATGAATTTTTCAAAGTATTCATGTTTTATACAATATCAGTCGAAAAGCGCCTGTATTTTGGAAAATTCATATCTCAGTAATACTATGTCCAAAAGTACTGAAATTCTTTTACAAGCTAGTCTAATTGAGGGCTTTATCTAGGCAAAGTTTCAGCTCAAAATTCGAAAATACGATTTTGCAGGAAAATCAAGGTCCCACAGGAAAATTTGGGTAAAACTTGAATATCTCAGCCAAATCGCAATATGGGCCCATATCCTCTTACAGTTTTTCTAGTCTACAAGACCCGTACTTATGGGCAAAATATGGAGCTAAAAGCGGTGAATCACTTGGGGACCTTCCTTGGTTAACCAAATAGGTGGAGTAATTTTACCGTTCATGAACTATGAAAACAATGTACCTGATTTCCGTCGAAATCATATTACGTTTGCAGTTATAATGGTAATAATCATCTTCCCTACTTTACTTCTTCGATTCATTTCTACTAATCGAGCAAGGAGAAAGATGACAAATCAGTTCTATACACTTGATGAGTTTCATGGAGTGAAAAACGTGCAAATCGGTTCTATATTGAATTTTGTATGGCTGCAGAATGGTGATGATAAAAAGAGTATGTGACATTATTTTATTAGAACTTTTTCGAAAGCTAATTATAGAGTACTCATGATATTTTTTCTCAGATGTCAATTATTCTATTGCATTACTCAAATCAAACTGCTACATATACATATATATACAGAAACCTCTGAGATGGCTTCTAAAACGAATGACAATATTCTATTGAACAACAAAACCGTAGGTTTTACAGTTCAAAAATGGCTGTGCACATTTTGAACGAAGAATATGAATGAAGTTCGAAGTGAAATATTGAGAATCATTAGCAACTTGAAAGAATACTCATTTTTGGGATGAGTTACGTCGAAGTATCATTGTAAGAAATTTGTGCAAGGTCACTTCCAGAAGTCAGAGTATTGATCCTGTTTTTCAAGTACCTCCTAATCAGTTCTATGGGAAATGCTTTGGTATTAGTTCGATTACCAGTTTTGAACTCAATCTACACGTCCTTCATCCTGATTCTTTACGGGTTGTGGAACTATGAGTGCCATTCAATAAAACTTCTTCAATAATCAATTGATTCTCAGAAACAAAGGGATCGGCGATTAGAGAACTTCTTAATACTAAGGGTGACTCTTTATCTTTATTTTCCTTTCTACTAAAGGATAAAGATAAATGAATCCTTTATCTTTAGAAAATAAAGATAAACGAAAAATAAAGAAATAAAGGATAGTTTTACAAGAGATAATGTGACTGGAAGAGTTTTAGGGACTACTCTCTAAAAAAAAGGTGCCGTACGGAACTTTTTATGGTTCTGGATTTGGGTACAAAGGACCCCGCCGGATAAGGGTCGAAATCTGCCACCTCATGGAATCAAATGAAAGTCATATATTCTGAAAGTCTTTTTTTTGGCGCACATTTTCGTATATTCTTTTTCCCCATAAATGTTGACCAGAGGCGGTTAGCAAATGACTTTGTGAACAGCCCTTACATGGATTATAACAACTTTTATGGATTTTCTAGCAATTAATGGTGTGGATGTGGATGTGCGTCTTAGTCTTCTGTTCATCTACACACACCCACGCACAACCACATCCATACCCTGATTCCTTTCAGCAATAACTTTATTAATCAACTTAATTGATTTTTTATATACATAAAATTATATAGAATAGATCTATTAAATTGTTTTTGCCAGATACCGACTTATAAATGCAAATAAATCATCTGGATTGTCATAAATCTCAATGCCTGTTGGAAGATCTGGTGTTTTTTCCAATAAAGTTATTGTACTTAAAGTATAAACTGCTAGAGGTCTATTTCCGATGCCCAGATCGCGAAAAAGTTGCACAACATCTGTAAAACATTTTGATTCTTTTGTATAATAAGCTCGACATATAGTAATAAATATTTCTCGTTTTCGTATGTCACATGCGTTGTCATTTAAATATTTTCGTGCATCTTGGTAAGTTGGTTGAAAATTGATTTCTAATGGAGGATAATTTGTTTGAACTTCTTCAGTTAGCTGTGGATCATTTTTAGGTGAGTCAATCCAAAGGAGCATCGCATTTTGTGAAACACAACCTAAACGAAGTGTTGATGTATAAAGGGTAGAAATTTTGCACCCCTTCTCTCACAGACCGTGACAGAGAAAACCTATCCTCATCACATCCCTTGATAACAACTGCTTTCTTGCTGCAGTTCTATAGGACGAAGTAAAAAGTCATGAAAAAATGTATCCAATTGTATATCGAACAAAAGCAAAATCATGCGGCTCATCACAACAATTACGTCGTGTTTTACAGTTTAATCCTGGAAGAATTACGCTTTGCGAAGGTTTTAGTGTGTCAAGTTCCGAGGAATTCGACAAGGTGGATACTGATGAATGCATGGATAAAAAGTCACATGGAGGAAGAGGTAGAAAATTTGATTCATTTGAATTTAATGAAATATCAACTTGTGAATATGGTAATGTCTAAGGGATTCTTGAATTTCCTAGATCAGAAAAGCAAACTCAAATCAATATCTCGTCATTAAAAACGGTTGTTCGAATAATGCAATAGAACTGAAATCAGTTTATGTGATTGAAAATGATAGTGAAGCATAGATTTCTACTAATCACTTATATTACCAATCACACCGTTATGAAGATCAGTTTGTAATCAATCATAATAGGTGCAATTCAAACATAATATACATAAATCTTAGCTGAGGATAAGCGATTTCGTATCGACATAGTCGATTCAGACTTCAACTCCAGAAAAAATCACACTTGCAGATTTCGACAAATGAAAAATGAATTAAATTATGACCTGTCACATTTCTAGTATCGTCAAAATCATAAACCAAAAGATGAAAATAGGTTTTCATCGTGTGCAAAGCATTGTTTTGTTATTAGAGGTGCTAGATTACTATTAATTTTGATTACTTTTACTTGATAATTGATAATCATATTTTGTTACTTATTACTTTGTTACTTTTATTACATTTATTATCTTTCAAATTATCACTGTTACTAGTAACAAGTAATAACGCTATAAGTTATTACTGATTACTGGTAATAGTAGTGTGGCAGCCCTATTTGTTATCTATCGAGAAAAGTTTAATGAATATTTCTGTAATATTTACTTGTATCGGATGTTATTATTGGTAATGGTTGTATTTCTTTGTTGTCAAATGAATTCGTCATTGTATACGATACTTGACAACCGGAATTCCATAGTGGTCCTTGATTAAGTCCAACAAATTCTTTCACTTCATATTCTTTATCAGTTGCAACAACATTCGGAAATTCAAGTGCTGCTCGTATTTTATCTTGTTTAGTTGTAAATATTAGGACAGGTACACGTGAATATATGGAACGAACAGCTCTAATGACATCGATTGCTGTTTTATCCTTTTGTATTGTCCATAAAGTAACAACTTTAAGTCTAATATGTGGTTGTCGAAGTGATTCTTGATTAGTTGTTAACCATTGTTTAGCTTGATCTATTGTTTGAACAGAAGTCATTTGATAATCACAATCTTTATTTATTGATAATCGAAGAGTATTTTGTGAATTTTCAATATCTTTAAAAATATTTTTAATATTTTCATTTTTATTATCATCTGTAATCCATAATATTTGATAATTATAACGAGGCATCATTGAATCAGTGCGATGTAAACTTGGAAGTCTTGTTACAGGTAGAGGTAAAAATCTATTCAAATCATACGGAAATATATGTTCAACGAGAACGTCAGCTCCACTCATTTCTCGTGTTGGCCATGGATTTGCTAATGATAATTGTGCAACAGCATATGGTGATATGCGATTTGATAGAGTTTGTAATTCATCATCTGTAATTGGTTTTGATTTATGAGGCCATTCAGGGTTTTCTTGTAGACGCTGTCGAGTTTTTTTTAATTTATGAATTAAATTTGTTATATATCGTTCATAACAATAAGGATTATATGCATAGGAATAAGCTTCTTCAACAGATTTATCAATTGGATCAACCAGAACACGTAATGAACGACCTTGTTGTTCACGTGCGCGAAGACGAGCCATGAAACCTTCATAATCAAGAAAGTCTAAAAATCGTAATGGTTTACGTATATTTATTGCATTATTTGATGTGCATGCACGAAGAATATTACGTGCTAATGCAATAGCAGCTTTCATTCCACTATTCATTCCACGACCAGGCCAAAAATGAACACACATTGCTGCATCACCAGCAAGAAAAGCTAACGCAGTTTTATACCGTTTTTCATTGTATTTATTAACTTTTTGTGGATCTGTCTCAATTTCATAACGAAGCTCACGAGCAACAATGGATGCTTGACGAACGTTAATTTCAATGGGTATAACGCGGAAAACATATTTTGGTGATATTTTAAAAAAGTCTAAACCTTGTCGAATAATTGTCCATACAGGTGATTGTGGACATTTATTGTAATCTAATAAATCTAATGGTTCATTAAGTAATTGAAATGTTTCTAAACGGTTTCGTAATTCATCATATTCATCTTGAATTAGACGAATATTTAAATAACCACGACGACTTGTGGATGAATTAACTAAGTAACGCGTTTGAGACACAGTTAAAATACAATTAAGTGCTTGATGTAATGGTTCTTCTGTTGGTGGAACATTATCTGGAATATCATAAGCTACACCACATGCATATTCAAGACCTTCACTCATCATTTGAATATTACAATAGCGACGTACAAATGAATTAGAACCATCCGTACCAACCAATAGATCAAAATTTCCTGAAAATAATAATTTAATTTAATTTAATAACAATTACAACAAAAATACCTTTTATAAGACATTCTGATTGCTCATGCAAATTTTCTGGAATGAGTTCTATTTGACCACTATGAACAAATGGTTGCATTAGGTCAAAAAGACGATCTTCGACTTCTCTAATTGGAATATTTCTAGATGTTGGCCAAACACGTTCATTTATATTTTGAAAAAGACCTTGTTTTATATACTGAGGCATTTGTTTTATAACATGATCTTGTAATGTAACAACTTGATCACGACGTGTTTTGCCTTGTTTTTCATCTTGCCAATGTATTCTACCTTGTTGATCAACAAACCAACGTCCCTCATAAATAAATATTTTCACATGTGTACCCATCATCATCGTTAAGTGAAGTGCAAATGTGAGACCAACTGGTCCACCACCAGATACAACAACGATAAGATGTTCATGATCTTCTACTTTTATCGGCATTTAATCTAAAGAATACACAGTGCCAAATAAAATGTCACTATTTTGAGAACGAAGAAAAGGAAAAGAAAAAAAAATTCGCGAATGGTACAAACGAACATAATCTGCGTTAGTAAAAACTAATCGTACTTTGGGATTGGGTAATTCTGTATTGACTCATGTGACTAAGTTGTAATTCTTATGAAAGTTATTGAAAAATAATTTCACGACATTAAAACTCAGTGTTATTGTAACTCTATCTCTCTATATTATATAATTATAAATAATAATTATTGACATTATGATCAGAGAAACATGTATAGATCATCTTAAATAATAGTACATATTAAGTCGATGACAAACAAGAAAATAATCAATAATATTCTGTACCTTGATTTTAAATCATTATATATTTTGAAATATACTATTTTCTATGTGTAGGTATATTTGTATCTATTTCTGAAGCATATTTTCTTTAGTTTCTTTCAGAATAAAAACAGGGTGAGGCATATTTCAATTTCCAAAAAAGTAAATTCCATTCTAAAACGTAATTGCTAAGAAAATACGGAAATTAATGGAATTTCTATCCAATTTAATTATTCATAAGTCTATCTATTCTGTAAAAAGAAGGAGATCCTACCCTACCGTAGAAGGAACAAGAACTTTCGGAAATTTCCGTATTTTCTACGTAGTTCTCAACATTAGACAGTAATTTCCATATTTTCTTAATAATTCCGAAAAGGGCTGAATGTTGGCAGCTTCGTCGTTTTGTTGCTCGATGAGAAATTACTTTTTTGAAGTTTTGAACAGTACTAGACCCTTGCAACATGTCGACAAATTGATTTCAGATCATTATCGAAGAAAGTATATTGATCAGACATAATTAAAAATTGTAAGTAGATTATATGGAATCTATGTCGAAAGAATTCATAGTAATATTCTTCTAAAACGAAAATCTTGTATATATCTATAATGCTTTACAAAGAAAGCAACGAAACATAGGGACAAGCATGCTTTTCATGTCTTCTAATGAAAAATGGCTGTACCAGTACGGGAGTTCATAATTGACTTTTACTATTAGTATGTAGAGTATTTTCTAACAAGAAAAATATGATAAAACTTCTGAAGATTATAGATGTTTCCTAGAGAGAAAATACTTCATGCTAACATTAATTCAACTATGAACTACTATGCTATAGCATAGTCTTGCTTGATGCATTGATTACAGAAGTTTTTTTTTGTTTCTTCACTGCAGGTCTTGAGAAATACTCATTTTTGGTTCTATGCAATTACGGAGCCATACACTAAATATTTCAATATTGAGAACTACGTATCGAGTTGGTTGGTATATATTGTAGCAATCAAGCAAATGACTCAAATTCATTGTTGTTCCGTCGTAAGAATGGATGAACCACTTTGAAAGTATCGAAATAAAACGAAACTTCATATTTAGTTGCATGATTGTTGTGATTTGCATTGATAATAAATAAACAAAAATAGACTACTACGATGACACGTCACGTATTAACGTTAGAAAAAAAAGAAACGAAGGAAGCGTGTCAAATTACGGAACGAATTGACCAAAAAACTTGACCTTGATTTTATTAGCCTGAGAAGCAGCCTTGGACGTTATTATCTTATTTTTAATAGTTTGATTTCATTTAATTTTAGTAGAAAAAAAACACAAAGTAGATAGATTCGTTTTGAAATATTCTGCTTCATCAGATACACAGCAACTAACAATTAATTTATGTTTATATATTTGCTCCTTCTTTTTCTTCTTCTAATTGATGTCAATTATTAATGTTAGTATGACGCAACGAGGAGGTAAACAGTAAATTTCATTAGCATAACGTAATGACTGTCTCATCATCAGAAATAATAGACATCAACAACAAGAGGAATAAAGAAGAAATAGAATATATTGATAACTTTAAAAACCTCCGCTTGTTTGATGTCTGACTAAAATAATAATGATGTCAATAGGCGACGATTGATATAAAAATCAAATATGAAAAGAGAAATAACAATTTTAAACGAATCCAGAATAGTTTCAATGCTCGACGATAAAGAACATCAAACCAATGATCAATAAAGCATATATAATGTCATGGGGTTATTAAACCAATACTTACTGTCAATCTAATAGTTGGTCACAGAAGATTCAGCCCAACACTCATAACATTTCTTTTTACATGAAAAACAATATTGTTATTTATACTTGCCAAGCAACAAGCAAAACAGGGTTTTTACCAAGTAGATAATTAACATGAGTCAACGTTATAAACGAAATTTTAGCTGAAAAAATTATTCATTTCCTTTTTTCAATAATTGCACAAATGTAAATTACAAAATACACTAGATAATATCTAATGTTACTCATTCGTGACATTTTTTGCCTATTAAGTAAATGTCGTATTTTTTTTTCACTTTGATTTGAATCATATTTATCGTAAAAAATTTTTTTTATGTGCAATCGATTGATTTACCTATTCATAACGATCGAAATGAAAGGAAACGGATGGGAGAGATATCATCTTAGTATGCTGTTAGAGCAAAAAATGAATAATGTTAACGTGAGTCAATATCAAATGCACTACTTATGGCTCCCTCTAAAACTTTTTCACGAGGTCAGAGTTTCAGTTGGTACCAGTCGGTAGAGAAAATTATTCTGTATCGAACTGTAGTTCAAGTTTTTTCGAAAAAACTGTATAAACTTTCAAACAATGGAAATAAGATGGCCAATGAAGAACCTATGTATGTGATTGACATGATATGATCAATCACAACAGAATCATTCCAAAAAGCTGAATCATCGAAAAAGTGATGCAAAATGGCTGCTCTTCATTAGAATTAATAATCATTTTGTTAGTTGATTAGGATGTGGGTGTGGATATGTGGTGTGGGTGTGTGGATAGATGTTGGTGTGGGTGTGTGGATAGAAGATTCTCACACCTACACCCCACACTCACAAGAAATTCGTTTTCTTTCACGCGCTGTAATTTTGTTTCTTTTTTTTCCTACTGTACATAAAATGATGACATATGCATACATACAACGAAATGAGAAGCATAAAAAACAAACATTATCTTCTATTGTTGCCAGTGAAATGACAATATCATTGGTCTCGAAATATACTGTTTCAAAATGGATAGGATAAGCTAATGAGAATATTGTGCAATGGATACTATTCACGGACACAAACAGATATCTCTTTTGTAAGCAGATCTGCAATTGTTTTGGTATTCAGTTTCAACAGGACATATGATCATTTCAAACCGATTCGATTTCTTTGTTGAGTTCTTCATATTAAAATATACTTTTGTCTACTTTCAATGAATATTGTCTAATTCAAGTTTTAATTATTTTTCGTTGCTCTAGTAGTGAAGGTAACAGAAATGAACTACTAATAGTCACTTATTGTAATTGTCATTCGATAATCTCAATTGTTGAAGATTTGAAATGAGAAATATTTAACTGATTGTTTCGTTAAGTTACGTGTATATTTTTCTGTTAATGACTCGTTCATTAATAAGAGAAGTTGGAAGAATGAACCGTTTTCTCTATTGATAAACTCAAATATATATATTATTCTCACACTTTATATTTTCTATTCTACATGAACAGTACTAAATATGACTTATGTAATAAATCGTTTTTCAATCATTTAGGCACATTTACAAAAAAAAAGCCTTAAAAACCATGTTTTATAAGTAAAACTAATCTCGTTAATCGACCTTTTTTTTGTCTAGATGGGATTGGCCGAATATAGAAAACGTGATTTTAGTTAAGCCCCCCCCCCCCCCCCTCAGAAAAGTCAATTTCGGTCAAATTTATCGATTTCGTGATTTATAACTCGTTAGATAGAGCAAAGTGTCTACTCTCGAATGTACTATAATTGATTGATTTTATGATGAGATTTAAGGATATTACATACAATTTTCTGAACCTTCATATTGAAAAAATAAGGTTTTTAAAAACTTATTTTCCGTTTTTCTCAAAATCCATTTTTTCGAGTATACTGTTTACACGGGCAAACCTTACTCAATAACGACTCAATATAAAAGTGGTAATGCTTTTTTGTTATAGAGCAGACACTTGGGGCTAGGTTGTAATAGAGCCCGATTTTTGAATTTCTCCTTTTTTTGAATAAAAAACTTACATCTTTTATTTTAATTAGCGATTTTTTGTCCACGAATTTGCGAATTTTTCAAAAAAATTTTTTTAAAAACCAAACAAAGAGAAATTAAAAAATCGGGCTCTATTACGACCTGGCCCCAGGGGTACTCTACAATTTAAAAACCACGCCGACATGCTAAGCTAGTATCCTCATGTTGAAAACCTTGTCCGCGTAAAGGGTATTTTTGATCAATTAATTGCCTATAACTCGTGAATGGCTCGCAGATTTCGGGAGATATTTTAACCATAATCTATTCTAGCCAAGACTAACATTCTCTGAAATTTTGGTTGAGATCGAATGAAAAATAACAAAGTTGGTTTCTGAGGGAGGGGGCTTAATGAAAGAAAATCAAGTACAAATAAATGCTTGTGTTTTTATTCTATTATTAGTCTTGAGCTTCTTTATATTCAATTCACATTTGAATATGGTTAACCATTTTTATATTAATAATAATACTTTTACTAAAATAGAAAGATTAGTTTTAACAAATATGTTATTTGTTAATACCAGTTAAGTAAGTCTAATTAAACAATAATTCAAACTTTGGATTAGAATATTAAACTTAGAAAACTTATTTTTAGCTGAGTTATTCTAAAAACAAAAATACTGAACTAATGACATTTTTAAAATTAATAAAACATATCGAATCAAGAATTTCGATATTATTTACGGTCTTTGATTATATTACGTTGTGTAAAAAGTTCGTGCGCCGTGTTAAAATAATGA